CGTCTTGTTGAGTCCTCAACACTGGCCCCGCCAACCGTGCGAAGATAACTGACCTGAAACACATTATAAAAATGCTTAACTCTTCAACCTCTATTACTATTATATTAGTTTAACAAGTCTGGTGTTTTATAAAAAGCTTTTTTGTTTAAAGGTACGGTATGTTATTATTTTCAACAAGGATGGCAGAAAAGTTTAAGTTTACAAATCTGTTTGTAAGAAGCTTAGATTATAGGACCTTCATTTATAATAAACTAGTGTAGGCCTAGCCTACATGTTGCTCAAAATCGGGCAAATGCAAAGAAGTAAAGTAGTGTATTTGGGCCCAGCATTTAGAAAAAGAAACGTTCGAGATTCCATACATTATTTAGCACAACAAAATCAACAGTGGCGTAACAAATCTTTACGGGCCCCCCTGTAAACTTTTTTTTTGGGCCCCCCTCTTATGAGCTATTTTTAGACCACCGATTCAACATAGTGAATCGCCCTCCCCCTCCCCCCAGAGCTATTTTAGGACCACCGATACAATGATCAAACAGATTAATCATAAAAAGAGTGGTACCCTAAACAAATTAGTGGGTCTCTCTGCCCACCGCTCCCCCCCCAGCTCCCGGGCACCCCGCATTGCGGGCCCTTCTGTTACGCCACTGAAAATCAACGGGCAAATTATATTTTATACACAGTTGACTGTGAGTTCAATTCTTAAGTTTTTCCCTTAGCAGGTTCAGTCCCAGCCGTCACACTCCTCTGTATTTTTAGGTTAAGTTATATCTACAGTCGGGGGTAAGTTCAGGCCCACGGTCAGTTATGTGATACGCTACCTATGGGGCCAAGTCATAGTTGCGCTCATAGCCCCCCCCCCACCCTGCCGACATTGATTTGAATTATAAAATGAATATAGACATTTTATGAGTTGCTCGCGCATCTGCAATATAGGCCTAACAAATATAAGAAGACTCATTGTGTTTACTTTTGATTGTTAATTGAATTACCCGCTTAGTAACTAAAAACGTAAACCATCAATTAAAGTTTAACTGTTACTTACATACCGTACACACTTATAATTCCAATGGTGCGTTCTTAAAAGTAAAATTGGTTTAGTTGTAAAAAAGTGTGAATTAAAACATAGTTTTAATTTATATAAGTTATAATTGCAAACATTTAAAACTCCAAAAAGTCAATACCGTAAAATGGCTTAATAAACCACAGTACCTTTTAATATTTTACATTAAAAAAAAAACTTTTCTACCCTCCCTGTTGCAGCAAACCTAAGTACTCATTAAACTAATTCTGTTTAAATAGGGAATAAATGTGATATTTTTAAGGAGACTTTTTAGTTTAAATCCAATCAGGCAGATGGAAATTCGCTAAGTCTGCAGGTTTGCTGCGGCGGGGGTATTTCTACATTTTTTTTTCGGCCAACTCGTCAATAACTTAACATCATCAAAGTTCATTTTCAGATTTACCTACATCACTTTCTGTACACATCATCATTTAGGCCTAAATGATTTTAATGACCGTAAAAACTAGGCTACTTATTTTAGGAACTTTTTGTAACACTTTTACCGTACGAATCTTTTATGTCGCCCTATTTCTAAACTCACTGCCACTTGGTTTTTTGCTCATTTCACAGAAAAAGGGTGTGATATTCCAACGTAAAATAACATTCTTCAAACGTAAATAAAATCATAAGCAAATACACGGCCAGTATCTTTACTTGCTAACAAATTGATACTGTAATAAGTTTCTCGCCATTTGACAAAAGCAACTGACATTGAGTATAATGAAAAAAGGACATAACAAATTAATAGGCCTAGCCTACAAATAAAGACAGACGATTAAGTATAGTTAATGATAAGCCTAATATGCAAACAGTGGCAGTGATGAGTCATGAGTGGAAGACGAAGTGAGGAGGTTTCAGATATTTTCCAATTAGTGTCTGTTACTAGCGCACCCAACAAAACAAAAAAAACTCTTGCGCCCCTGGACCAGGGCCCATTTTTAACCGCGGTACTGGGTAAGTTAAAACTTTCATCCCTAGATCTTAGAAAGACAGCTGTGATGTCATAGGCATATTTGATATACATTTTGATAGCGTTGTTACCCTTCAAAGTGCCATCTATAAATAAATCGTACCTTAGGCTATTATGTGCCAAGCCTTGATAAAAATTACTCTTGACTTATGCAAACTTTCGTTCAAGTTTATTAATTACTAAACGTAGCTGCGATGTTGTTTCATAAGTTAGACCTAAGTTAATTGTAAACAAAAAAAAACATACCGGTAGCTAAACCTAACCTAACCATAACCTACTGATCGCAAATGCGGCACCTTAAGTTATTTGTTGGACATTTCCTTTCGATAGTTTTGAAGGACGTAGGCCTCATTATAAAGCTGCAGCCTTCTGGGGTTACAGTTCCGCAGAGAACCTGCGATCTTATTAAGTTATCAGATCAATAACGATTTATCAATATTTTTATAAATATTAACATAGGCCTAGCCTAGGCCTAAGTTTAGGCCTAGTTAGGTCTAACTTTAATATTGCATTGACTTTAATTTTCCCAGTTAGCTTATACATTAAGTTATAGGCCTAAGAGGCTAACTTTATGTTTTCTTTTGTTGCTTTTTCATTAAATAGGTTAGGCTATATTTTGCTATAGTAAGTTACCGTCTCAGGCTATATTTTGTTTGTGGTTAAATATGCTCATAGGCTAGTTAATATCGATAGAAACGTAGGCAAAACAAATCATAGGTCAATTTGATGTTTACATTGGGAAGAAGAATAAACATTTAATTTAACTTACCAAAGATATTTATTATTAAGTCATCCATCTGTTCACAGATCACAGGTTCTCTTCGGAACTGTAAGTTAAGTTACCCCCTTCTGGTCTTAAAATATTCATCTGCCTACAAGACTAGGCCTGAATTTTAACATAAACTTACCAATTAACATCATTTTTAGTCTTAACTGTAAGTTAGGCCTAGGCTAACTTATGACAGGTTCTAAGTAACTTAGGCATAAGTTTAGCTACGGTATTTGTTAAGTAGACCTAGGCCTAGCTTGTCTCCAAGCTAAATTAGTTCAGACCAAGGACATATTGCAATGAATTAGGTCTAGGTTATCTCCTGAAGTTGGCTTCCTTAGTTTTGTAAACTACAGCCTAATTTTTCCCTAAAAGAGCCTCCATCCGTAGAGTTTTTAAGGGGTTAGGAAGGCTAACTTAATTTGTAACCTATTTCCACTTATAAAGTATTTAAATTAGATTACCACCATTCGAGTTATTAACAAAACATATGCTAAATCTCTTTTTTAATACCTTACAATAGGCCTAACGATAATAATTTGTGTAACTTACCTTAGTCCTTAACTCAAGTTAGTCGAATCGCCACTGAAGTTAAAAAGTCGAAGATGTAACGCAAATCTTAAAGAATATAATGTAAAAAGTAACTAATAGACCTAATTAATAAGTAAATAATAACAAAACAACGAATTCTTCACGTGTAACACTGAAAATCAGAAGTAGATGCTCTAGTAGAACAAAAGGGAATTTTGGATTACTTAACTTCTAAACACAGCCACAAGGACAACGTTTGTTGTGAGTTGTGAGACAAAGACATTAAGACCAGTGTTGCCAGATTTGCCGGCGAAAATTATCGTACAAGCAGGCCAAAATTATCGTTTTTGGGGCAAAATTATCGTACACACAATTTTCTTTTATAATAATATTATTATAATGTAAAACAAGCAAGTCGATGATGGAATGGCCGAAATTTTACTCTATTTGTCTCTGCCACCCACCGTTTTTGCTCTACTATGTCTACCACTGAGCTAGAAAAATGAAAAATATAAATTCTACCGGAGGCAGCACACTTATCACACACACACGTCACACGGAATCTGCATCTCTGCTAGAAAAAAATTGAAACGCTGTAAAATGATGGTATTTTCGTTCCGTTCTCAACTGGAAAAATCAACCAGCTCATTGCATTATTTCATTCCCCTACTGCCAATGTACTGACTGAGTTCAATAATTAATTGAAGGTACAACGTAATCTACCCCTAGTACAAATGGCGGCCAACTTCTCTCAAAATTCTCCTATAAACACTTAAGTTGGTAGCCAATGGGCCCTCTCTAACACAGCTGATGGCTTTGCAAGGTTGCCAGATCGAACAGCAACGAAGTGATGTTACTGTTTTTCCATATATTAAAAGTGGGAAACGTGTTTAAATGTATAATAATCAATATGAAATAGTTAATTTTCCAGCCCCCAAAAAATAATCGTACATTATGACAAAAAATCGTACACAACGTCAAAATTATCGTACAATTTTTCAAAATTATTTTTTATGGGGAAGGAGCAAAATAATCGTACAAATACGATAATTATCGTACACCTGGCAACACTGATTAAGACAAACAATATGGCGGTGGCGGATCGGATGCTGACCCGCTGACCCCCGCTGTTTTGCTCCCATAATGCATCAGCGAACATCGTCGAACCTATGAAAACGCAGAGACTCGGGTATCTCGCGCGGCAGAATATTTTGTTCATCATCTATGAATATTATAGTACAGTATGTGTTACAAATACATTTTACACAGGATGTTGAAAAAATGCAGGGAAATAAATACAACACACTACAATTTTTTTCGTATTTTTCTATTGATATAAAATACATATATTATCTGTATCATCAATACCTTTACTTATTTTACTGCATTCTCGAAAGTTAATTTATGCCCTCAAAACAACATTTAGGTGAAAATTTACACTTTGTTTCTTCATTTTACAGTATTTTATGCAAAATTTATTTTGGATGAAACCGTATTTTCATATTGGTATATAATATGCATATTATCTGTATCATTAATACAAATACGTTGGTTATACCTTAATCCCGAATATTTACGTATTATATACATTGCTTGCTACATGGGTTTGTACCGGTCACGGTGTGATCCAGGAATGTAATCTCTCTCACAATCTTTCTGTCTCTGTCACCATGGGACTCTGGGAAGATAAGATAGGTAGCAAAATGCTGAGGAATGACCATGAGTGGCTGAATGTGTTAACAAACTACAGTAAAGCAGTGATTATCTAATGGTTGTTTTTAGAATGAAGGAAAATCTTTTAATTCTATAATAATTAAGCCAGGTGAATAAATAAGCTTTTATGCTTTATATTTTGTGTCACATCTACCTCACAATTACATTCTTCACATCGATTTCTTCATTTCTTAACTCATTATTGGGTAGCTGAGTATGGCTATAGTGATCGCCTAGCAATCAAAAAAGGTTTCCGGATATTGAGAAAAGTTAGAAGTTTTATATGCATAGGAACTGGACAGCTGTTCCTGATCATTGTTTAAATAAATGGTTCTCGCTAATGAAACAGCTGATCTTAGTCACTAACAAAGCTACACAGATCATCCTTCACTCATATTAGGGTTAAAATACACACCCAGGTGGCGTCCCAATCTCAATTGAGATTTGATAATTATTATTTATATTCATTTCTATAACTAAGTTGACGTTTTTGTTACAGACGACAATCAAGGTGTACGCTCGGTGTTTGCGGCCTGACATAGAGTACAAAACTCTGGGCATCACTTACCAGACGACATGCCGAGAGGTGGTGCAATCGCTTCTCAACAAATACCGGATGAGACATCGGGACCCCAACCTCTTCTATCTCACCATGGAAGTCACTGTCAGGAAAGCAGGTAGGAGAAACAAAAATACCCCAGAAAATACTCTAGATGAAGTGAATGTAGATGAATCTGAAAGAATTTTGATGTGAATGTGAATGAATTTTGAAGGATTTGAAAGTTTTGACTTGGCTTAGAAAATATAACTTAATGATTACAGAATTCTCATGAGTGTGAGAAATTATGGTTTTTGGAGGGAAAACACATTGTTTGGAAGTATATTAAAGTTGTAGGAATAGATATACACTAGTATTCAAAAAGTTTACAACACAAACATCTTGATATTGCCCATAAAGTGTCTTCAGAAAGATTTCCTTTGAAGAAGAAACTTCCTTCAAAGGACATTAAAAATATTTTTGTACTATAAAATGTCTGAAACTAAGTGATTTAGTTGTGCTACCTTTCATTTTTTATGTAATGTATCAAAAATATGAACCGTTGCTTTTTTCATAACATAAAAATATACCTGGTTTTGTATTCTGGTTCATTGGGCAAAGAAAAGTATTATAATGAATAACAATTTAAAATATAGCCTGCTCGGAAATCTGGAAAATTCTATAAATTCAATTAACACATGTGTATTCATAGAAGTATCTCTGTTTTCCAGGTGTCCGAACTGTGCTGGTGTTGGATGAAGAAGCCAGACCAGCAGCATTACAGTCTTGTCAACCTAGAGGAGACTCCAGGTAAGGCAAAGATAACCTCAAACATCATCAACACCTCTGTGTTAGTGGTATCGTTATCGCTTACTGGAAAGCTTGAATTTTACACATTTCATTACTACACTGACAGCGACTAATACTTGTCAAGATAATGGCCAAAACAAGTACAGTACTAATAGTTTTGCCTTAAGAATAGAAAAATTGACATAGATTAGTATGTAAGTTTAAACATCTTTGCCACCAAGACTGATAATCGAATATAATATAATAGGTTACGTACCTTATTCCGTCTTCAGTCTTAACTTAGTCAATGCTGGATAAGCATTGACTATTGTCAATATCCAGCATTGACTAAGTTAAGACTGAAGACGGAATAAGGTACGTAACCTATTATATTATAGTATGTAAGGTTTACTGGTCAAATTCATTCAACCATTACAAAAATAAAACACATTCCATATCTTTTACTATATTGTTTCCATAAATTCTTACCAAGTATTATTTTTCAGATTTGCTCTACAGACCAGGAAAGGAGGGCTTGTCAAGATCTATGACAGTGCTTTGATGCCTGGAGTGAGTATTTATCACAAACTTAATTTGTTAAACATCAAACATAACAAGGTTAAATTTTCTGTACATCTGTTACACATAACTAGCTAAGCACAGTACTTTCTGTAGCTAGGTAAAACTGCTATAATAAGCATAAGGATGAGCATTAACCTACATTGGCAGATGATCGTACCCACTTATTAGAAATTGGCCAATTCTCTCCCATCGTAATTGAAGGCTGTAGTAGCCAACAATCTTTGTTATAGTTTCTAATTTATGTGATTTGCAGCTGTGAGTATTTTAAGTACGTGCACTTCATGGAATGAAGGTTGTCAATATTATCCTGAAAATAGTTTGATGCACTTTTTGGGGATTTGAAACTGTAACCTGTTCTCAACAATTGGGTTTCAATTGAACATTTCTGGCTATTGAACCAGATGGTCTTAGTTGTTTGGAAGGCTTTTAATTATATTCATTTTTCTATTTGGTGATCTCTTGTTTTTCACTTAGACATCTTGAAGCCTGTAAATAACCTAATTTGTTTATAAAACACCTCTCCACAGAATTTCCAATGGTAAAATTATACTCAAGTTGTAAATAAATTAAAATGAACACAGAAACCAAGGATGAATGTGCAAATCTAACAAACAAACTGAACATAGCTTTAAAGATCCATACTCTTAAAAAACAGTACTAATCAACACTGAACCCTGACTGACATTCTGTTGTTTTTTCAGTCTCAGTACAAATCGCTTCTGATCTCGTTCAGAACGACTGTAGACGAGCTGATCCAGATCCTATTGAACTGCTACAACAGCAACGAGCGAGTTGAACAGTTCTCACTCTACGAGGTAAATCCATTTCTTATGAATAATTTTGTACTGTTAGTCTATAAATGTAACTGCAAATAATGATAGTTGAGGAATGGTAATAAAGACAACATTGGCTGTTGAAAAATTTAAGGAAAATAACTAACTTTCCTTAGAATAGATGCGATAAATGGTTCAGATGACCGATACTCTTTAGACTTATGAAAAATAAATGTCTCTAATAAAATATATGAATCACAAAAACTAGAACTATCAATTGATATAGTGGGGCAAAAACAGCATTCCCACTCTTTTGTATTCCCCAATTTTGTATTTTAATACGTGATTTGTGTTGTTCTGAAATAACGCTGAGCATTCCTGGATTGGAAAACTAACCTTTACACCTCCTTTTAATTACCTATGACCATTGGAATCAATAATTTCAAGAGCCCTCTTTTATTGTTCAACGACTAATGTTTTTTTTCTACAGGTATGTAAGAGCCAAGAATCGCAACGTAAGCTTCACCCAGACGACAGACCTCTGGAGGTACAACAAAGATGGCTGCCTGTACACGAGTACCACTTTCTCATCAGACGCAACATCGACTACAAGTCTCGAAGCACCAGAGCCAAGGTAAGGCTGGAAAACATTCCTAAATATCTACTTGGGACAAACCATATCACAGTGTCCTGATGAAAACCGATAAAGTATTGCTTTCCCAAAGCGTTTGACAATCAGTTTTAGTCAGAGATTTTATTAAACTATACAGCTGAGAATGGGATGTCTTCTTCTATGTGTATAGTAAAAGCTGCAACTTACGCTGAGAAATTCAGTTGTATGTGCTTATTTCCACACTGCTTCACAATCAATATCAGTCAAGAAGTCCAAATGACAGCAATATCACTGTTGCTAAGTTAACCCAAAACTCAAAAGTCATGTGAATTGTGATATAGCGCTACATGATTAATTTTAAGTAGACTGAGTATTGTGGTACTTGGCAACTCTCGCAGAAGCAAAACGATGTGCCGTAAAAGTTTTCTTCCCGCGTCTCCAGAGCGGCCTTAGCACATTGAGCAACTCCTAAGGAAGTGTGGTGTGGCTGAGACATTTTGGAACTAGGATGAGATTACTTGGATGAGATTACTTAAGAGGATCAAATAACTTGAGGGGTTCTGATAACACTCAAAATATTCCGAAAACAGTCAAAGAGCACCGTAGTTGGCGTTTCTGCTGCTGTAACATTGTGCACACCTAGCAACCTGATGAAGGGGCGGGGCACCAAAACAAAAAAACTTCGTCTATGACTTCTTATGGTGGACTCTCAAGTTATAAACTCTGCAAGAGTTGCCCCCGTGTGCTTACTCGTTATCATTTTGAAATTAATGTTTTGCTTGAGTAATGGAAATTCCTCCACCGCTCCACAATTAGCTTCCGCTAGAGTTGTCGAGTATGCTACAAACTTTAGGTAAAAAAAAAAAATAATTTTTGCCTGGGTTTGTGATCCAGTTTGCTTGGAATCTTGGAAGCTTTGGGACTTCTTTTGTCACTGCCAGTCTCTATTGCTTTCAATTCCTTCTAGTACAGTAGATATTTCTCGCTGTTAAACACCAATGTTTTCTCTTTGCAGGTAGTCGTACCTTGGACTCCAAGCCTCTCTCTGCCTTGCACCCCTCGGCAGTCACTGTCTCTCTCATCTCCCAACACTTCTCACTCCCACTCTCACGAGTACGAGAACAACTACTTCTACATCTAATCAGTCATGTTCGGTGAGTATAGTTATAATAATTTTTACCTAAATTAATTTTGTCAGGAATATTCTTGAACTTTGTCTTTGAGTTTGTTATGATGACCCATTGAATTAGATTTGCAGCTTCTTGAAAATTTAACTTAACCTTGAACCATTTTTAAGCATAAAACTGGAAACTGAACTAACTCAAATTTTTAAATTCATTCTACCATGATTCAGATTTTAAACAGTATGTTGTGGCAATAGCTATGTAAATATTTGCAAGTAGGTATTTATTAATAAAGATATTCCGTCCTAACTTGAGAGCTTAAGAAGAGGCTATTTTACAATAAACTAGAGGATTTTCAGCGTTACTAAGGCATAGAAGAAAATAATATGGTTCTATTAATATTTTCTGAAAAACAGTTACACTCGAACCACTAATTAATTGTAACACTAACACTTATAAAGTTCATTCCCTTCGGTTTGGATCAGTGTTTTGCTATGAAGAGCACATCTAACTTTCAAAAGATCCATTTCTAAATTTAAGACAATCACATTGACTTTTTGGACATGGATAAGCCCCCATAAACCAGATCTATCTATGTGTAAAATTTAATCACAGTGTAGGTTTAAAAATGTTCACCAGTTTTTGTGTTTTTGCCAGGTAAATGGATACTCAGACAGAAAATAAATCCACCTAATCTTTAGATAACAAACAATTGAACTAAAAATAGGCTTTTACCTTCATCAATCCAGCTCAAATGTTGTAACTACGTTGGTTACTGTTGTTTCGGCATTACAATGCCATCGTCAGACAACGAAATCTCGACTGAAGTAGCGTCGTTGAAGTTAGAACACATAACACACACGAATACGAATAAAATTTACCAATGTAGTTACAACATTTGAGCTGGATTGACGAAGGTAAAGCCTATTTTTAGCTAAGTTTGTAGCTCAGGGGCTAAAATATGAATAAAAAAAATTGAAATATTGTACTAATTGAAGAATTTGGTTTGTTTCAGAGAATCATCTAGTTACGATTGGCTGTGAGGGAGTGAAACAAAGGGAGGAATGGTTTCATAGCCACGAGTTGAGTTTGAGTTTGAGCACCAAGGTTCAATGTTCTGAGTTCCTGTTACGTTATCAATATCAAGACTTTATTCATGCACCATACTTAGACATACTTACTACATTGTGTATTGACTATCCAAACTCTTATAGTTCATTGTATTTATCATTAATAATTATTTTAGCGACTATAGTTGTGGTGGTTTAATATTTGTCACATAACTTGATGTTGGTAGTCTTATTCACTTCGGCAGACAAGTTGAGAAATTGCGTTGAAAATTTCAATGGATTATTATTTTAAATTTGCATGTGCAGTTCATTAATAATGCACATGTTACTGTAAGGTCAGATATACTATTTGTAATTTTGAAAACAAAAATTGTTAGGTTACAATTACAAATTTAAACAATATTATATGAGTGTTAAAAATAAGGGAATCATATTGTGTGTGAGTGTTTTGTCAAATATTTTGTTATTTTTGTAAAACTAGATTGTGTAAATATTGTATATCTTTATTTCTGTTGCTACGAACCCAAAGAGAGATTTATTGAGAAAAATTTTAATTTATTATTCAACCTATGTATAAATTTGTGGATAGAACTAATGTTACATTCTTAACCTTTTTCATACTTTACATATCATTTGCTTTTTGCGTTTTTAGTTTCTTTTGAAAGCTATTTTTCTTTGGCATGTTGACATAAAATAGTAAATCTCAATAATAACTTGCTTTTGTTTAATTATAATCCAATTCCATTTTTGAATTCTAAGAAATTGAAAGTTGTATTGGAAGTTGTGTAACTGTTCACTTTATATATAATTTTGCGTGCAATGAAAAAAATTAAATTCATAATAATTTTATTTAGTTACCAGTCTTGATTGAACGAGACCAATTTATGTGTGTTGTTATTGACTGAACCTTAACACTGTTTAAGGCCTACCATGACATAATAATAACCTTAAGTGTATTTAAATGTTTATATTGTATTATTGTATGTAAATAATAAGTTTAGTATGTGTTTTGTTAATTTTATTTTTAATGGATAGTATAAGCGTCTGAACTTGATGCTTCTTATAGACAATCCAAAATGTCTTTTTTGTCTGCTCCATTTCATCAGTGTTTGATTATAATAATTTTGGTGTGTCTGCACTGTCATTTTCAATCTATTTTTGGTGCAGAAAATATATATGTAATACATATATTGTACACTTTAACTGAAGTTAGTGTAATTACTAAGTTCAATAATAAAAAAAAAACTTAGGCCTAGTTGTGTTTGGAAAAGATATTCTTAAAGTTTAAGAAGTGAAGTGTTTGTAAATCTACTCACAATTTGAATAAAGTTACATTGTTGGATTATACTTTTGTTTGGGCTTATATCAAATGATCAGATACTTGGTTCAATTTTTAATTGTGAAATAGTTGGATAAAAAGTTAAACTTAAACACAACTTAAAAAGGTAGGTATAAACTTATTGAAATTAAACGAAAAGAAATTGTGTGTAGCTATTAAAAAGTCAATTTACTTGTTTATATTGGTGAGATACATTTTATTTACAATGTAGCTGTGCTATATCACATAAAATGTTATTTAAAAGATTTTAAATTATGCAATATTGTTAAAATGAGAACTATTTAAATTAGTTTAAGTTATGTTTTTATACCAAAGATACTACTTTATTCTAAGCAGCCGAATCAGTTTGCTTTTTCTTGTGAATACTATTTTGTATTAAATAAATGTATGAATGTGAAATCATTGTGTTTTTTATCATTACCACTATCTGAGGTACAACTTATGGGACTTTTGAAAGACATCAGATTTACTTTATCAGTACTGGTGGCATTTGATTTTAAATTTAAATGAAATAAGAAAGCTAACCAAACAACAGAAAACACTATTAAGGAATTGGAATTTTAATACACATTGTAAAGTACATGATAATATGGTAATGTAACGGATAACTACCATAGATAAAACATACTCCCTTAGTATTGGGTATCCTTATTGTATTATCCTTATTGTATTATCCTTATTGTAGTATCCTTGTATTGGTTAGTCTATATGTAACTACCCTGTGAATAATCACTTTTAAACATTCACTTCATCATATCGAACTGTAACTACATGATAATCAGTAAAATACGATGTAAGGTAAATCAATTTAACAATAGACAAAAATAATAAAATATTTATTAAATATTTATTCTTAAACCCTTTGTTGTCTAGTATTGATAGGAAACTATTCATTATGAACCAGACTTAGTTATAAAAATTCCAGCTTTGCTCTGTAAGTTTTAAGTCCTGCAGTCTGTGGTTAACCTTAAAAACTATTTCAAACTACGTCCATATGTTATTTGTAAAAAAAGGGAAATGAGTTTGATCAAACGTCAACAGATAGCGCCGCCTTCCAAACTTTAGCCCTTAAGTGGTGCCCTTTCTAAATATTCTGAGACGTATTTGCACATCTACGTGAAAATACCTTTAATTTGATGTGAAATAATTGTGTTTTTTATCATTACCACTTTCTGAGGTACAGATTATGGGACTATTAAAATACATCAGATTTACCTTATTAATAAATACCAAGTGAAGTTTTCTTAAAGTGTTTGGTTCATTGGTAATAAATGGTATATGCCTATTCATGCTCTCATTTTCACATAGTCGCTTAACTTTCATATAATAGTGTAACACTCCTGCTGGGGTGCATAACGCTTGCAGTTGTTCCCAAAATTGCTTAATTAAATGTATATAATGAGCTTCAAAATTTATAGAAAATTACCATTGAAACCCACACCTACTCCAATTATAAATTTTTTTTTGAGTATGATACCTTTGGCTATTAACACTAGACATTCCATCCCCATGTTGAATTCGTAGCCAGATTTTATATCAAATTCGTTGTAGTTGATGTGAGCCACCTACAGATTTTGCTGATCTAAATTACTAAGTTCTGTCAAATACAAAAACATTTTTACCAACATTTTTAGTCAAACATAGGGAATGACTTATGATGAGTTATAGAAGGAAGAGAAAAAGTGTATAAAATAGAATTCTGCAATTCTAGCGCATTCTGTGACTGGCTCACACAACTACGTTCTTTTTTAATAAAAAAATAGCTACAGGTGGTCCATATAGCTGGTAAGTCTACTTCAGTATCCAATGGTCAATGATGCTACGTAATTAGTAAATTTTCCATAATGATATCTAAGGGAAAACTTTGGGTCTAGCACTATTGGAATTTCTCTGTACCCAATACACCAGAACAATATTGTCAATTATATGGTTGGGGTTTTCAGCAGAATTCAAAATGTGTGAAGTATTGCTAAAAATTTTGTAAGAAAAATATGCCAAACCATCTTTTTTGTTTCCCCCTTTTCCCATGGTCAAATTAGGCTGATTCCCAAACATTTAAATAGGTAATGCAATGAAACGTTGATCACTATCTTCATCGGCATCATTAATTTCAGACATGACAAGCTTTGGGCGAGGATGTGTGGCAGAGTTCTATTCCTTAGTTAGTTGTGAGTTCTATCCCAGAAACTTTTTGTTCATGACCAAGACCTGCTTCTTCTTTCACCAGGACCAAGTGCACAATGATCAAGGACAGCTGAGGACAATTTTGAACCATTTACAGGAGCTTTTGTCAGACAAACCTTTAGCCACTGAAATCTACATATATAAAAGGCAAAGCCCTCACTGACTCACTCATCACTAATTCTCCCACTTCCCACTTACCTAGGAGGCTGAAATTCGGTACACCGATTTGTTGGGCATTAAATAGGAAAACTAAGTAGTTTTTATTCTGATCGGGCTTTCGGGCTCCGCCCCAGTGGCTCTCTAGTTTCCCATGTTAACCTTATGAGTACTCATATTTAAATGGAATTAATGAATCTTAACAGCTGTTTCAATTAAACAAGTTGGTTCTGTTCTATGATGTTCAATAGCATTAAAGTTACAAGGATTACTGACAGGGTGCAGCACTATTATTTTTTTTAAATTTATGACAACAGCTAATTTGCAACCAAAAGATGAGTGAGCGTAGCGAACGAACTTCAACCAGGACGTGATTGAGCCATTTGAACGAGCTCACTTATGAAGTTAAACGGGGCAAAGCCTGCGAGTACAGCTAGTCATACTATAAAAGCTGAAAGTTTGTGTGTTTATTTGTTTTGGGCTCAAATCACACATTAACTACTGGTCGGATTAGGCTGAAATTCTGCATGATTAAAACTTCTATTTCTCATTAACATGTACAGGGTGGCCGAAAAGTCCCTTTACACAATATTGCAGTACGTATTACACTGTTATATTTGTTATTATTTGTACGTGAGTAGTAAGGCAACAGTGGGGGGAGAGATTGAAGCCTCACTCTCTCTAGCCAACCACGTGCGGCGACGCCCAGTAGATAGTAGATAGTAAGCGGTGCCTTTGCAAGAGTCACCCCAGATTATGCTGAAACGAATGAGCCAACGGACTTGGAGTCGAGTCAAGCTTTGCTGAAACAATGGAGGTATACATGCTGATGTTTTAGACTATAGTTATTTGTGCAACTAGTGAGAAAAGTGAGCAATTGACTCACTCGAGAGAAATCCTTACTCACGAGCCGTAGGCGAGTGAGGAATGGTTTCTCGAGTGAGGCAATTGTACTTTGAACTCGAGTTGCACATTATACTTTTCCTACAGTTACCATAAAACAAAAATTGGTGAAGAAACATAACCTATTTTTACACAGAAGTTAACTTTTAATATAACATTTAATGTGAAGTGACAAATACAACAGTACAACAGATGACCAGCTGATTTACAGCCAGTGCTGCCAATGTATTTTGCGCGCATACGACGTTGCCTGCATATTACGCGCTCACTATTTCGTGCCTTCTCGTTGCAAATCTGGAGTGAGACAAAGTAATTAGAGTGAGACAATGTTAACATTGTCTCACTGATGAGCGAATTGGCCACTTTGCTTTCTCAAATCAGTGAGAGAACATGTACATTGTTAGGTAACTGTAGGAAATAGTTATTTGTGCAACTAGTGAGAAAAGTGAGCAATTGACTCACTCGAGAGAAATGCTTACTCACGAGCCGTAGGCGAGTGAGGAATGGCTTCTCGAGTGAGGCAATTGTACTTTGAACTCGAGTTGCACATTATACTTTTCCTACAGTTACGATAAAACAAATAAATTGGTGAAGAAACATAACCTATTTTTACACAGAAGTGAACTTTTAATATAACATTTAATGTGAAGTGACAAATACAACAGTACAACAGCTGACCAGCTGATTTAAAGCCAGTGCTGCCAACGTATTTCGTGCGCATACGACGTTGCCTTCATGTTACGCGCTCACTAATTCGTGCCTTCACGTTGAAAATCTGGAGTGAGACAAAGTAATTAGAGTGAGACAATGTTAACATTGTCTCACTGATGAGCGAATTGGCCACTTTGCTTTCTCAAATCAGTAAGAGAACATGTACATTGTTAGGTAACTGTAGGAAAAAAACTTTGTTCACTTGATATAGCCACAAAATATTTCTGATTAAAATAGATTTCTATAGTTTTAATCAACGCCAATTGAATTTATCTTTAGTGTAGAGAGACTTTTCGGCCACCCTGTAGGTATATTCTTATCTCAAAGATCCTTTTGGGCTCAGCCCCAGTAAGGAGTTCCCGTGTGTACTATATGGGTATTTCTATTTAAAAAGAAATATAAATTACATGAAATATGATCAACATATTGCGTTTTTGCAGTCATTTAATTGTACGATTAGGTCACACACCATGAAAATTGTTTGAACAGAAATAAAAGAGCAGATCCATTGCCTTTTCAGAAATCAAAAGTTTTTGTAACTTCTTACAGAAATGTACATTAATTTAGAATAGTATGATTACTTATCTGTTTAAAATACAACATGTTTCAATTTAATTTAAAGAGAACACAGAAAACCCCTTTAAACATATTTTTTGCTGAACCCCTCACGTATGAAGGAAAATGACAAAGTAAACAACATTGACATGACAAGAGTATTGTTTAATTTCAAATTGAATAACTCGTAGTCTACAATATACAATACGAAGTCGAGTATGAGTATGCGTCTACAAGGCAACAATAGATATTGCGTTCAGTCTATGACAATAAATACACACAAACAAACACACACCGGAGAAACTCAGATCATACACACAGGGATTCTTTGGTTCCTCCCTAAGATAAGGTCCGTAAAGTTACGGTAACTTGGGACTAGAGCTCGGGGTAGTCCCGACCAAGTCTCGCTAGTATTTACACATTATCTACGCTATGAGGCGTCTACACACGTTTCTAAGAATCCAAATTATTTTAAAATTAAAACACAGATTAGTAAAAAAAAAACTTAACAGAAAGAAAACAACAACTTCTGGAAAACCTTAAATAAGGGTAATAGTTAAACAAGCCGCCTTGGAGTTGGTAATATCCCTAAAAAAGTAACGTAAAGTAGTAAAAGTTTAATAATGTTAATTTATAATTGAGGCGTAGCTGCTAAACAGGCCTATCTCAAAAACTGATGTTTTCAGATAATCCCTGTTAAAGTTTAGAGATTATGTTTGGCTGTCAGCGTAGGCGGTCTTCTATGCTTAAAGGGCCAGTGACATAAGCTGACTTTAAGAGTCATGCCAACCAAACAAACTTAAATACACCATTCCAAGTTATCAAAGATTATACTAGAAGACATGAGGAAGCGAAATATCGACTATCCTCGAAAAAGGGCCCATCTCGACTTAGACCCGTTTGGCAGTCACAGCCTCAATTTTTATTAATTCACTACAAAATCATCAAATAAAAATGCCGTTCATTATGATTTTTAAAAATTAAAGGTGGTACACAACTTCAAAACTTAAAAAAAAAAAATAATAGTTTTAACTGTTATTTTAAGATATGTTATAAAACTTCTGTTACTTTCTGAACTTAAACAATTATTGAGCCAGGTTACTCCCTTAAAATATTAACAATAAAAACTGTTCTGGTAAAACTATGAACAATAGAAATTACTTATCATAATTAAGAAGTTACAAACTTTACTGAACAATTGGAAAAATCAGATAAAAAGTACAACAATCACAAAAAAAGCATTTTTTGTTACTGGAAAATAATAAAAAATCTTAAGATTATCAAACTCAACAAACACTGTAACACTGATTTACTTCTAAATGGCTAAGCCTCACCATTAATGTTCTAACAGATATTTCAGTATGAACATAATCTTTTAACTCACCATACAAAAATTCCTGAGTAAAGTATAAAAACTTCAGATTGTCACTGATATGAAAGCATTTGATGACGATGACATATATATTCCTTTTTACTAAGTAGGGGAAAATTCGACCTATTGAAAAGATTAGTAAGATTTTTAAAACTGTATTTGAATGTCTAAAAACACTATATAGATAGAAGAAAAGTATTTTGTAGTTGAATACAAGAAGGTATTTTCACAAATAGGTGTTTATTTTGTTTCCAAGTAACTTGAAAGACTATTTTCAACCCTAGGAAGTCTTAAAAATAAAAATGGTTAGAATAATTATTATTCTTAACAGTTATAAGTTCAAGATTTGTTCTGCTGCAACAACAGGCAAAACACTTGCAGAGATGGACGGGTCTCAAAATTTCTCAACATTTTTGGGAAAATATATTTATGATCTTTTCACGAATCTGTTCCAACCATCAGCAAATACGTCTCCGCAATAGTAGATGTTCACAATTTTGCCATGATTGCGAGACATGGTTTAACGATGGCGCGGTGATTGCGAGACATAAATGATAGTACCTAGTGCAATAAATGATATGCAAGATGGTTTTTTTTGCCTTAGGACGCTAGGCAAGAGCCCGGGATTGTTTTCACACTACTCGCTAGACCTAGGGGGTTGCGGCATTATCACTTAGATAAAATCCATTGGTGATTTGGCGGGATTTGAACCCAAGACCCCTCTTGGACCGAAGTCCGGTGCTCTGACCACTAGACCAGCTTGCTCCCCATTTCAAGACGTTAGCGATGGTGCAGTTTCAAAAAAAATCTTTTTGTAACCATTATGTCTAAGCATACAACAATGCTTTGCAAAATTATATCTCAACAAAAAGGTCTAGATAAAAATTACAAGATAGGCCTATTTATTTTTCAAGGTTAAAAAAGGGAAAAATCTAAAATCTCCCATAAAACCCTGTTCCCATAGTCCGAACATCGTTAGAATAGACAGAGTTTATAGGTAATAGCTTATTCCCTATAGGCCTATGGGAAAATACGCTAATATTCCCTATATGATAAATTTGCTAAAATAGAGTGATACTTGGCCTTAATACCTGTTTGTGATTAGCTATTGGTTTTTAGCTAGACTGATGTTTTGCAGTCAAATTTTATTAAATATAGGCTATAATATAACATTTTTATTTTTGGAAAAAGGTTTTTGTTATTTTAACCCATTATTGGTTTCTGTACTACAGGACCATATAGATTTTGTTTGTCATAAATTTAATCTGCGAGAACTTATAGGCAAGATTTTAATATCAAACTCATTTTGCCTAAGAAGAAAAATCCCGTCATGTTCCTGTCCCAAAAATCAGGAAGGGAATAAAATTCTGCCCGTCCCAAACTAAAAGTCCAATCCCGTCCATCTCTACTAATTTGCCGTTAGCATTTTCTTATCAGTCAAGTTTAAACGAGAAAGAATACAAGATTAACACGAGTAGCAATATGCTGACAAAAGCCTTAATTGTAACAAACCTAGTGATGAACTTTGTTTCAATATTCTAAACTTTGTACCAAAGCTATTTACGAAGGATGTATAATACTACAATACCGGCATAACTCATAACCTAAGACTAGGACACAATTATACATAAGCGTTGATATCACCAGTTATGACGGGTTGGGGACTGACGTGGTCAAATCTCTCATCGGGTGATCTGTAGAGTCGGACTGGTCTGTTGAGTTGCTGGACGAGTGATCCATCCGAGTTTGAGTATCCGTGGGTTGATCCATCGGATGGTCGGAGGACTGTTGATCTGAGGATGTGTGCTCCGACGTAGTGTTGGGACTGTCCACGTTACGATAGCTGAACCCTACCGGTGAGTCTCCACTTGATAATGACTCAGGGGTGCCAACAGAGCTAAGCGATCCAGCCAGTGGACTGGCAGTCAAGTCTAGCCTGCAAAATGGATAGCATTTAGTAGTAAGTTAGAGCCAAATGTTCCAGTTTCAAAGTGTGAAGTACAAATGGCAAAGTCTATTTCCTGTGTAACTATCGAAGTTGTTTATTTCTTCACCAGGGTTGCTTACAGAGCTGGAGTTAATACCCTTGAAGGGTAAACATTCTTTATTGGTTCGTCAAGAAATCCTGACTGCTACTTTATTGTGTGCTAAGTTTACAGGGCTACACTGTATTAAGTAATCCTAACCCAGCCTAACATAGCCAACCCAAAACAACTTCAAGTCTTCAAATAATTAAATAAACAGCATCAGGCCTTAGTGTGGATTGTATCCAGCAAAGCCAGGGGTGAGCCAAGAGTTGAACTGTACTGATAAAACATAACTTGGCAGGTCTCAGGATGCAAACCCACAACATTGCTGCGTTGGGTACAAAATTCATTGTGACTACGCAATGAATTACCGATTCAACACATCTTTGCGGGTAAGTGGGAAATCAGCACTGCCACTTCATGTGCTGAGTTTGTGGGACTTCACTGTATTAAATAATCCTAGCCTAGCCCAGTGTATCCAACCAGAAACAACCTTAAGGCTTAAAATCATTTTGTAACACTATTTACTATACGATCATCTGGAAGATCACGTCCGAAATTTCTATTAGAATCATTTTGAAGTGGTATTTGAAGGTACTTCTTATGTTAGTTTTCTGAAATGTTGACGCAACTCATTAAAGCCGGCATTTTCTCACCAAACCTAAGGAACTACTGTACATAATTTGATACCCCAATACACTAAGGTCTTTAATAGTTTAACAGGATCAATAATTGAGAAAGATTGCACCGATATCAACATTATACACTCAAAAGTTGTGGCAAACAAATATTGTAGTTTGAAGGTAACAAGAAACTGCACGGTCTGTTCCAACAAAAATCAAAATAAAAAAAGTTGAGGGTTTGGACGCCTTTTTAACCATCAAAATTACCTTTTAGATTGAAAATTGATTAATAAAGTGATTGTATGACTATTTCTTTTAATGAAAACCTTGCGAAAATTTAGAGAAATTTTGCAACTTTACTTGTAGTGTAGGGTATACAGTAAAATTACCATAATTTAACTCCCACCGTTAATGGAAACATCCATAGCATCCTAAGTATTCTCGCTAAGTCTCTTAGACTAAGAAGGTGTTGGTAGTTTACTAAAACATATAAATAAAAACCTTGATTGAGGCATGAGCAGTCCCATGCTCGTCCGCTTTGCAGGTGGCTCGTTGTCATCCAAGTCAAATTTGCGTTTGATGGGGCCCAGAGTTGGTGTCCGCAATGCAATAGGGCTCAAACTCCGTCTGAAAGTGTAAATTACAGATTAACAAATTATTGGTTTGGACTGCAAGCTGAAATTACAGCTATTACTTTGTAGGCCTACATGGGAAAAGAGGTGACAATTTATATCGGTTACACTATGAAAACTTAATGACTTGAAATGGATCTAAGAGGATGTTAAAAAAAAAAAAAAAAAACATTCTGGGAGCGTTCAGTAGGGTTTGGCCATGTTTAATGGATTTCACCTTCCTCTTTATATATAGGCTAAGGTACGACATCTAGCAACAACGCAACTAGTTGTAATAGGCCTTCACAGTACAGCGTAAAAGTGCATATAATGATGGTGCAAAGTAACAGTATTGGAACAAACAAAATTTTCCTTTTACATTATTTTTAATGAGGCAAAATTTTTACAGGAGCGTACTCGCACCTACAGCACTTTATATCAGTCCTATATAACTATAATACATAGTTTTTACAATTTGCTTGCATTTTACAGTACCGTACTGAAGACCTGCAACCCATTTATATTCTGTAGAACTACCGTACGTCCAAAGACACTGATACTGATACATAGTGTGTGCTACACTTTAGATTTTCTGTTAGATAGGAGAGAATTAAAACATTTTCCTATTGCCACCTTTGGCTATGCAAAAACAACACAAGCATTAAATAAGTTCAAAAGCTGTTAAACTATCTGAATATGAAACTTTCAAACACTGTTGGTTTTCCTATTTATATCCTAAAAAAGTAGCCCCATCTGATCTGAGCGAATTAAAATTTCACCATCTCCACAATCCTATATATTTTGACACCAAAAGTCTTTTAAATTAGACAATGAGATATTTCACTAACGTAGCAGTAACACTTTGAAACTCTGTTCTCAGCAAATCTCACAAACATTGGCGTACCTGGTGGTGAACTTCCTGGTAGGACTTGGTGAGAGGTTGGTTTTCCAAACGTTGGGTGAGAACACCTGCTTGGTGCCCAGCATCCGGGTGGGGGAGGGAGAGGAACAGACGGGGGAGAGAGAGGGGAGGTGGACATGTAGAGGGTCACACAAGCCTACTCTTGGCTTGGGACTACGGTCTCCGGCATCTCCCTGTAACACAACAAGCTCCATTTACCCGGCTTGATTTTTACTAAAATATTCCCTATAAATTTTCAGATTTATTTCCATTTTTAAATAACATTAATTTTAGTGAGTAGTTAGGTTTGCTGCTACGGGGAAGATGTTGAGGTGTGTTTTTTCAATTGAAATATTGATAGCTTAGTATGAAATAAACCAAATTGCCAAATTTGATTAAAATATATCCATAAACAAGCAAACTAGAACAGTTTATTTATTCTCCATAAGAATAACATGGGAATTTTAAATTTACAATTTTTTTAATTTTCTCCGTAGTCAATGAACATTCAAAAACACTTCAATATACTAAATTTTTTGTTTTTTTTTAAGCTCTTCAAAATGGTCTAGAGAGAAATTTAGAAATTTAAAGTTTTTAGGGTCAAAAATGAGAAAAACCCATTTTTACCCCATAAAACCTCCCATAAACCCCTGATCCCATGGTCCGATTATGCTGGTTCGCGAACTCGTTCGAATAAATGTAGGTTTACACGTTTGTACCAAATTTCATCAAAATCGGATCAATTTTGCTCGAGTTATCGCGCTAACGGACACATATATAAATATATATATATATATATGAATTTGAACGGATGGTGTTTTTGGCCTCTGGGGACCTCAAAACGAAAAAGTAAATCGGTCCCGGGTCTAGGTCTTACCATGAGACCTACGGTAATAGCTTATTCCCTATATGGGAAATTTGCTAAAATTAATAATTTGGCCTAGACATGGGTTACTTAGGCTACAAAACCTAAAAAGTGTTGAGGAAACATTGAGCTATTTTCATACAATCTTTACTATTCAAAACTACTAGGGCGGTCACTAAATTTAGATCTCCATTGAGGTCCGAGCTAGTTAACATCTGACACCAACGTTGTGTCCTTTACTTCATCCATCTACAAATCTAGCCGGTTCTCACCTATATCTGACGATTAGTTCCTTCATAAGTAGTAGCCAATAAAGATAAAAGAAAATCAAAGCTCCTGCCAAGTGTATGGAGCGTTCCTCTCCATGATAAGGTTTCTGTGGGAGTGGGAAGGGGATCTACCCTAACACATTGATTAGTTCCTTCATAAGTAGTAGCCAATAAAGATAAAAGAAAATCAAAGCTCTTGCCAAGTGTTTGAGGAGCGTTCCTTTCCATGATAAGGTTTCTGTGGGAAGGGTATCTACCCTAACACATATCTGTTGCCGTTTGGTAGATTTGTGGCCTAAGGAGAAAATGTTAGGACATAGAAAAAGTAAATTTGGTGCTTAGCGAGTTTGCCAGGCAATTTGCACTGTGAAGCCGGTAGGGGCAATTCATCAAATTTGACAAAGACAATGAAGAGTTGAGGAAACATCCTGAATTTATCTGGAGATATCAGGGTATAGCGTTATCCCTAGTCTTATCCCTAGGTCCACGTCTCTTGTTAGTTCGGCGATCTCTTGTCCTTCTCTTGTCTAGTCACACCGATGTCTGCAGGCAAAACTTTGGTCACTGCTTCAAACATGATGAAAATGAAAAACCGCAGCGGACCTAATCAAGGCAAAACATCTCAAACATTTTTCTGCATATGTCTACAATATCCACCTCCGACTTCCTCGATCCCTTAATCACGTTTTTTATGTCCAAACCCTTTACTCTATTCATGTCCGACAACTGGCAATGGACTTCAATAGATTATCACCACAGAAATCAAATCGCTCATCGACGGAGAATGATGACCTGTGAATGAGGGTGCACAATAAGCTGTTCCAGCTGTGCTGCAATCCCATGGTTACTTGTAAGCCTGGCCCTCTATAAAAATAAAAATATAAAAAAAAATTATCAAAAAAAAATCGTTTATTGCTCTCAGATCATACTTTGCAAAACTACAACTTTATTCTCACATGTGACAAGTTGAATGTATCGCATAGCTGCTAAACTGAATAAGCATACCAAACACACCAAATGCATTTAATAACAATTAATTTAGGAAATAAACAGGTAATTTTAACATATTTCAAATTCATTGATATCCTTTTTGGACAAGCAGACGAAACTAGAACAATTTTCATGTAACTTTGTGACATGAAAAAGTTATAGGACTAGTTTCCTTTGAGAAACCATAAACAAAAAGAATTAAATATAGACCGTGAGCCGTGCTGCAGTTACCATAGGTTCTGGCGTACACCACTGGGAGCGCCATGTAGTTACGACGTACACGCTACGTAACTACATAGCACTCCCAGCAGTGTGCACCAGAACCTATGGTAACCATGGTAACCGCAGTACGGCTGACAGTCTATATTTAATTCTTTTTGTCTATCTTGAAACTAAGCTATTATATGGGTGCACTTTAGTTTAAACGACCCACATTTATTTGATTGAAATTTTTGATTAAAACTATTGATATAGCCAATCAATTATTTCATTTGATTGTTCAATCCATTATTTTATTGATTTTACTTTAAGTGCAGCCTTAAAAATTGACAACTGATCTTGTTAAGGCTAAAATAATACATGGATTAAGAAATTCAACTGTTCTAAGCTGACCTAACATAACTAACCAAACTTGCTGTAAGAATTAAAAATTCCGTTAATAACAGTTAACAGAAAAGGCAAGAGTAAAATATCAAATGGAATTTTCATATGTTCGGATAATACAGTGAGCTCACTTCGAATCAAAATGCCACAGACAGTAAAAAAAAAACTTAAAAGAGTAGCACTTGGCTCTGAAATGGAAAGCCTAGGCCTACTTGTAATCTCCATAGCAAAATGTATTTTCTACCTTGGGTGAATTGCCGACAATGGTAAGGTCCTCCCAAGACTGTGACATGACCATTGTGTTGTTCAGTTCCCGCTCATGTGCCGTCTCTCGGCCTACAGCCACGTCTAGGCACTCCTCCTGACGAAGCTGGCTGATCCGTGGAGTCAAGCGGGGGGACAGCAGTGGTGCAGTGGACCCGGAAGTAAAACTGGCACTGAATCGCCGCGTTCGGGGGGCCATTGATGAAAACACGTTGAAGGTTGTTGATTCCCTATAACAATCGTTTCGACAAATTTTTAATAAAAGTTCCTTGACAATTCCTCATCTTAAGACTAAGTTTATTACCTTCAGCCTAGGAAAGTTACCGTACTACTATTTGGATTTTTTGTTAATACAAGGGGAATGTGATTAAAATAGGCCAAATCAATAAAAAATCACTGAAGATCGAGGGGTTAACCCTCCAAGTGTCCATAGTTTAGGCCTTAATGTCCACCTATTTTTGGCGCATTTGCAAGGTTTTATTAAAACGGATCTGAGAAGCTTAAAACAATGTTAATTCTAATGTTCTATATACCATTTTGTTTGGAAAATCATGGGCTTCAATATTATATATAAAACATAAGGAACATTAAAAAAAAAAAAAAAATTTTTAGGTAAAAAAAATATAATTTCGAAAATTTCGCGCCTAATGAAATTGTATAAATTATAGGCCTATAAATATTTGAAAATAGCCACTTTGTTCTAAATTTTATGAGGATTACAAATATATAATAATATAAGGAAGTATATTTGCAAATAAATAAGTTATGGGCAAAAAACTGATTTCAGTACATAGCGTTTAGCTAAGAATGCATAGCCTAACCATAGCTAGGAATCTGGCTGATAATTTACATCAATATCACTACCTACTTCTTCAGGATCATCAACCAGCACTTCAAAACCACTTAAATCTTCTTATAATGCACCACGTATATCACTACTTTTGATTTTTAACACTAAAACAATGATAAACGTAATAAAACACATCAGTCATCGGTCCGGGGGAACCTAGCTGTTTACAAATACACGCACGTCAGCTGTCTGCTACAATATTTTCAGAACTAAAATGAATAGCGCTTAGAGACAGACATCTGGAGACAGCTTAGAATGTAACGGAAAGAACGATACCTAACTCGATCCAGTTCAATCCGATTCAGTCAGTTATAGAGCCTTCGCCGTAAACGATGTCTGCTTGTCGAAAAATCGGCAAGTAACACTATACAAAGTGTGGTGCTTGCCGAATTTTCGTCAAGTAACACTGGGAGGGTTAAAAAAGTTTACTCAGGACAGTGGTTGGGAGTTCTCTCATCTAGGTGCATTAAGCCTTTAGTTAATACAGGCAACAATCTAACTGAAGTAAGTAGGTAGGACATTTGTATTGGACATTAGGCCTATATTAGAAAAATCCTTAAAAATATTTCTAGGTAGGGAAATACAGTAGGCTAACTTAAGCACGGGTCACACTAGGCTGTTCACCAGCCGCTGGTGATCAGCAGCTGGCACCAGCATCACCGGCTCACCAATCCAGGCTGAGTCAGCTCAGTGTCAGCTGGCTGCGAATTTTGTGGTCACATTTAAGCTGACAGTCACGGCTTCTTTCAATTCGCCGCTGATGCCAGCCTAGTATGACCCGTGCTTTAGAACAGTACCGCGGTTACAAATGGTCCCGGTGGGTCCAGGCCCAGGGGCGCAAGAGTTTTTGTTTTGTTGGGGGGGCAAGTAACAGACAATGTTTGGAAAATATCTGGAATAGCGCGACAGTAGAATCCTCCTCACTTCTGTTCCCACTCATGAGCCATCTGAACTGCCACTGTTTGCATATTATCATTGAATATAGTCCTTTTATCTTTATTTGAAGGCTATTAATTTTTTATGTCATTATTTCATTACCGGTACCTAACTTACTCATAATGTCAGTTGCTATTGTCAAATCGGGCGAGAAACTTATTATCAATTGGTTAGCAAATTAAGATAAGTTGCTGCCGTGTTTTTGCATATGATTTTATTTATTTATTTATTTATTTATTTTATATATAGGCCTAAATAAATGTTTGTATGAACTGTTTATGACGATAAGATTAGGGTATCTGCAATTATAAAATTCTATGGGAAGGGAGGGAAACAGGTCCGCGACATAGGAAGTGGTGAAGGAGGTAGTAAAGGGGAGTAGTCCGGAGTGTGGAAACTGTTTTTGACAGTTAGATTTTATTTATGTTCGACGAATGTTATTTTGTAATGACACACCCTTTTTCTGTGAAATGAAAAAAAAACCAAGTGGCATGAGTTTAGAAAGAGGGCGGCAAAAAAATTTTGGACGGTAAAAAAGTGTTAAAAAAGTTTCTAAGCAGAAGTAAGTAGTTTTCACGCTCATTAAATAATTTAGGCCTAAGTTATTGATTACCGGTATGTGTACAGAAAGTGATGTAACCCTAAAATGAACTTTGATGATGTTAACTTATAAGTTAAGTTAAACAAGTTTGCCGAAAAAAAATTAGGAAAACCAGTCATTTTAATAGGTCTAAGGTGTTGCCTGTTTCTAGTTTTTAATGTTTGCAACTACACCTTCAATTCAATCTTTTTTTACATTAACTTAAAACCATTTTACTTAATTTTAAGAACACAGCCTTGGAAGTGTTTATGTACCGGTAGGCCTAAGTAAAAGTTAAACTCATTGCAGTGACGTAGCCAGGGGGGGGGGGTCCTGGGGGTTTGGACCCCCCCTTCCGGTCTTAAATATAATATTTTTTTGTTAAATTGAATGTAAAATTATATAAGTTAATCATAGCCTATATCATTGACGTTGGGGTTGATTATTTTCAATGCCAAGAGAGCTAAAAGAGACTGTTTTAGGGCCTATATTTTTAAAATTTTTCCCGGATCCCCCTTTTTACCTGGGGCCCCGGTCGGTCGACCCTCCCTATTTTTAAATCCTGGCTACGTCACTGCTTATTGTAAGTTACCGGTACCTATACCATTTAATTGATGGTTCACGTTTTTTCTTTAGGCCTACTAAGTTATGTGGGTAGGGCCTAACTTTATTAACAATCAAAAGTAACTTAAACACAATAGGCCTACTTATAACGAGCCTTGCCTTTGTTATGATTGCGGATGCGTAAGCAACTCGTAAAATGCCTATTTTCATTTAAGTATTATTTAAATCTATGTCGGTGTTGCAGGGGGGGAGCAATTACCTATTGGGCCCAAGGTACATCACATTCAAACCACGGACTAATAACCTCACTAACCCAATCTCTGGTAACTTAGTCAGACTCCTCGCTTGATCCGACTGTAACATCGCTTGTAACATTTCCTGGGATATGGCTGCTGATTTTACTGAAGAATGTAATATTAAGGACTACTTATAAAATTAAAAATTAACTAGGCCTAAACTATATCTAACTTACCTTGAGGTAGTAGCAGTTGTTGCTGATGTAGTCATTGTAGGATTTAACTGATTGATCATTGGTGCACTACTGGATCTTTTTAATGAAGCTGGAATGTCAACTTCCATTTTGACAGGTGGATTTGACATCTTGAATAACTCTTATAAGATACATTAAAATATTTTTAGATTCGTTGATAAACATCGGTTTAGTATTCCGAAAATAATGTGTCTAAACTGTTACACACGACTATAGTTCTGGTGCACAAATGCAGTTCAACACAACAACAATCTAACGATACGCCGTAGTTGAAATTATCAGTAAAACTCAAAATAAAATATTAACAACAGCACAACACAGCGACTGATGAGAACTTTTAACAATTTTAACGCCCAAGTCACCCATCCCTATTATTTATTATACCCCAGATTCAAGAAACTCCTACTCCGAACTCAAGTCGTTGAAGTCGCTCTCGGCTCTCAGCTCTCAGCTGATCAGGCAACACACTAAAATTGATTTTACGGTTGGATGGTAATTCGAAAAAGCATTAACTTGACATGTATACGAAACGGATTGCATTAAGAAAATAAGAGATTTATCATAAGATTTTTCTAATGCTTGCGAAAATTGGGTGGTTTAAATTAAATTCACAACAACACAAAGGCTCAACATAACCTAACTCAACTACAACACAACATTGAACAGTCAAGACTTCTTATTCTTTTCTTAAGTTTCTGAGTCGACGAGCCTCAGCCAACCAAAATCATTGAGTAAACACTCAAAACTCAAAGGTTAGGGCGAAAACTTAAACTAGGCAGTAGTCTTATTATTTATTAGGATATATAATAACTGAGGACGAACATTGGTTTTAATATAATATAAACTTAGTTTTGTTTTGTTCAAATAGTCGTATTGTCGATGAAATAGGGATAAATTAATATTAAAGCAATAATTGATCAACACCATTGTGCTTGAGCAAAGGCTTGTGCGGTCTCTGTACAAACTGGTTCACAAAATTACTCACATAAAACATAACGAGTACCGGTCGGTAGTGTACAAAAACTCGAAGAAAGGCTCAAATAAAACATTTAAATCAATACAAGGTGTTTAAAATGACCCAAAAGGATGCTTTACCAAACATTTAAAAACATTTTCTTGAAAGGATTTTTAACAAAAGGGAAGTTTGTTAAACATTTTAGGGCCAAAACTTTATTACTAATTCCTTCCTATCTACAAATTACCTTTTGGATAGTGTATAAAATATTTTTTTGTCCAAAGGCTCGTCCAGCAATTCCTCCAAGTGTTTACACTTGTCTTAATCTGCAAATATGTTGGTTCCTTCTTTTAAGATAGGTAACACCCGCTGGATGAGACAACAAGTTTTGATAATGCGTTCAGCTTCGGCTGGAAGCATCTCAAAAAGAGGAGATGTCCTCCTGTCTGAGGAAAATGTAGATATGTTACTGCGATATTTGCAGTATGAGTACGGTAAGGAGGACCGAGAGGGGCGAATATAGGAAATTTGTGAGGGGGCGACCCGGAGGGTAGAATATTTTAGGGTCCTCCCCGAAAATGTTTTAAAAATATAGGTGTTAAATACCACGTTTTGATGTTTCCGGAGTACTTTTGAAATTAATGGACGTTTGACGATGACATAAACGATAATTTAATATGCATTTCCCCCCAATGTTTCTATCGTGAGTCGTGAAGGAGCCCTACGCCCCCCGTGTCCACCCCTGACCCAAGTAGCACACATCGTTGGCCCAACGTTGGGAAATGGTCGGCACGGTTGGGAAATGGTTGGCAGAAATTTTAACGATTTGCCAACGTTGGCCCAACGGAAACTAATATTCGTTGGAATCGTTGGGCCTTCGTTGGGTATTCGTTGGGTTTAAGTATTTATACTTAAACACAAAGGCCTAATCTAAATCAAAAGGATTAATTTTCAATATAATCTATATTCAAATACTAGTATCCTCTCCAACTACCAGAAAAACAATTTAACTACTTGATAGTCCAGTAAAATAAGACATTTTGGTATGCAAAAGGTCGGGTAGTTCTGATTTTTGGATATGTTGTTAGTATTGGGCCCATAACATAAAATCCAAGTTATCCACCTCGAGATACTGCCGCTCGCCGCGGGGCGCGCCACTTGTTATCGAAATATCAAAAATATGGCAATTCCTATTGTTTTTCACTCAATCTCGCGAACCGTTGATTTTACCGAAAAGTTTATTTTATTACATTAAAGAAGAATACATTTATGGCAGTTTAAACCCAACAGCAAGTATGTAGCGTAAATAATGGTCAAAATACAGACCATCAAAATAGATAAATTTTCCAAAGACCGATAAAAATTGTGGGTTTTTCAATATTTCCACAATATAGTTGTTTGAAGCAATCACCGTATTGATTTAGAGAGTATGCCAGTTTATTTACTATTAATAGAAAATAAATTAAAGTACGAATAAAAATACCCCCACCTCAGCAAACCTGCAGACTAAGTGAATTTCCATTTGCTTGATTTGATTTTCACAAACCTATTTAAATAACATTAGGTTTAACTGGTGCCTAGGTTGAAGGGTGAATTTCGATGTTTTTACTCTTTATCACGCGCTATTTATCACTTGAATAACTGTTAACCTCATTCCATTGATTATGCTCTGCACCATGTATAATCCACCATGCATCATGTATGAATACAGTTCAACGCTTTGTATTCATTGCATTCTTTACTTTTTTGTTGAAACTTATCCTAAAGTTAAAGTTAATTCGCTTTAAATGTTTGAGGTTAAAGTTTAAGGCAGTCAAAAAGATTCTCCTGATACTTCGTTTGCATATTAATGTTTCGAATTTCAAATTTATGAATTTTCACCACCCTAAAGAACGTTTGTATTATAGCTGACTGCTTAGGAAGTAATAGTCAAATTAATTCAATAAATACTGTCCGACAGTATAAACAAACCACTCAACAACAAAGATTTATCTCTGAATGATTTCTAAGATGGGTTTTACATCGAATTTTTACTACTAGATAAAAACATATATAAGGGATGTTTATAACTCAAAAGGAATACCCCTTCCTTCCTTCCTATATCTGCGGTTGGATTACTCAATAAGTTGACAGCGCGAAAGCAATAAATTAAGGGCTGTTGGAATGTTTAGTTTATGAGAGGTTAATTAGATGCGGGAAAGTTGGTAGCAATGTTACAAGTTGTGGTGAATGAGCGCACCACCTCACGCGACCACACGACGATACAGTGTCACAGTTGCCAACGATAGCATATTAGAAAGCTAAAATATTATGATAAATAAACAAAAATAACTTTTAAGCTAACAAATACTGCAATAAGTAAAGATTTTTGAATGAAGGTTAACATTTTTAAACCCTCCTTTGTTGTTCGAAATGAAATATTTGTAAAATTAGAAAAATTCCTTTAAGTTCCCCAATCTTGGATTGATAACGAATGCAATTAGTCAAAATGCATAGTAGGACCTACGACCTTTTACAAACGCATTTACATTCACACCAAATAATTTCAGTTTACGTTCAAATTGAATTATGTTGAAGAGCTTATTTTGTACAATAACACCTAAGACAGGGTTTATAATAGAATCATAAAATGTTTCGAGTATTTTTTTTGCCAAAGGGAGCTCACTACACACGTTTTAGACCGGACGAATAGATACGACCTAAATTTTATGTAGTCTACATACATAAAAAAAATTAAGTACTGTATACAAAGAAAACTCAATAAGATGCGTAATTTTTATCACAAACTGTTGGAATCTAAGGTAAAAATCATAATGATAAGTACATCATAGAGCATGTAGTAAAATATCTCATTAGATAATTTGCTTGTCATCGTATTGGTCAACCCTCAACTTAGTCAGTAAAAAGCTATTGGTAATATTAGAAATCACCGTCAAAGGCAAACAACAAACAAACAATTTCCCAAACAGCTCCCTTGGTGCGGCAGTAAGGTTAGTTTAATGAGCCATTTACCGCCACTTTTATACGAACTGGCGGCAAAATATGACCTCAGGTCATTACATTCGCGTGTAGAAAGGTCGCGACCTAGTGGTTACGCCTTTGTTGGGGCTAAGTTGGAATTGTTTATACTTAAAGATTGCCAACAGAATAAATTGATTCTAATTCCATGGGTAGAAAGATGATTTCGGGCCTCAAATGTACATTTCAAACTATATAAAACCTCTTATCTTAAATTTGTTTATATTGTTGTATTTTAGACCGAAAAAAAGGATAGAAAATATAGGCCTATATAAACATATTCCCCTCTTCAGTCAAAAAAATGACCCAAAAGGTTCAACCATGTTCAACTCATCAATTTTGTACGGATTGGCACTAACATAAAATGCAAATAGTAACGTTTACAAAATGTTATTTTATTTATTCCGTGTCATCAAAAACACGTTCAGCACACAGGTTGATTTTCTGCCTATCACTGGATATTGTTTGGATCGCTTTTTTACAGCATTTATTTTTTTCTGGTTCAATGTAGCAGGGCATTATTCACAGAAGTTTGAACAAAAATGTGAACAAAATAATTATAGTAACATTGTGGGTTCGCTTAGACCTGAGGCACCCTGTAACTTCATAAATTTAGATAAGATTTAACATGTTCAATTTCATTTAAGCTTCATTCAGCAGGTCTTGGGGAAGCTTTCGACGTAGCCTCCTGTTTTCAGTTGCTTCACCAAAATTAAACGCAAGTGCTCCAGGAACATCGTGTAGAGATGACGAAATTTAATGTGGATCATTCAATGAAGGTTGAAATAGACTCTACTCCAAGCTCTTCATGTAAATGTTTGTTTCTAATGAACCAGAGAGCATTCAACGCTATTCTTAGAATTTTGTTTTGGATCACTTGAATTTTTGAATAATTTGTTTTTTGATAGGAGATGCATATGTTATTAAAGAAAGAATTATTTATTTGTAGATTAAAATCTAAGGCTGTTTTTAGAGAATACTTTCTATTTATTAAAGAAACAATATTTTAACTTTTGCTATTAATTTTACGCTTGCATTCCGGTACATCTGAATAGCTGATTCAAATTATTGCAATAAGGTAACTCTATAAGACTATGCACTGTAAAACTAATAGCTTGCTGGTACCATCAACTAAAGATAATATGTGTTACCTTCTATAATCAATGGTAATACAACTATACCTCTATAGTAGCTTAAAACACTAACAACTCTGCGTTCACTATAAGATGCGCAAAATGGGTAAAACTATTGTAATCTAGATAACCAAATAGTCCCAGACACAACAGCATGTTTTGCTAGGCAGACACTTTAGCCACCGAACTGTAAACGATAATTACCTAGAAAGCCTGTAGAGCATGCTGCATGGCTTCATGGGTATAATCTGCAGAACATGTTAATTGTAGCGACAAAGCAGTGGTTACTGTATATCGTCGTGCAGAATGTTCTTTGTAATTGGGCCTTTCTACACCATGTTTCTAAACACATATCTGGGAGCTTGGTAATGCACTAGGTAGTTTAAGTGGGCAATCGAGTTAATAAAAATTTGTTTAGGTAAAAAATGAGGTAAATTATTATGCTATAACCTCATTTCTTAATCACAATTAGACTACTGTTAATATAATATTGTTTTATCAGCTGGAGGCCTACTGAGTAGATAGGATAGAGAAGATA